AAATTATATATTGTCTCGTTAAGCTAGCAATGTGTTGCGATGCCGTGCGTACTATGACGCCTATCTGTGTTTTTCCTCTACTCGCATTTTATTATCCAGTGGCAGTAAAGGCAGATGCCCTTTTCTGGTAGTTGCGGCCACTGTGTGCACTACGTCAGCAACCCAGCTTCCAGTACAGAACATCACTTCGGGCGATCACTGTCACCTCGGTATGTCCAGAGCACCTGTATTAGAAACGTCGCACGCCGACACGTCGCATACACAACTCCCGACACCGTCACCCAATTCATAGACATCGTCGTGCAAACATATGCTCTCATTGGCTTAAGGCAATTGTCTCGCTAAAGTATTAGTTACAGGCATGCAGGCATACCCCCACACTCGATTGGAAGAAATGGTCGCCGTACACCCTACGCAACTGGTGACTCGACTCGCCCATTGGCAGATGGAGGTTATGTTGTCGTTCGACATCGCCTTCCCTCCGTTTTGTATTATCGACACTTCTCATAATCGCTACTACCGCCTCGGGCATAAAATATCACTAACTCACATCGTGCTTAAGATGTTACCTGCGTTACATAACAAGCCATGGCATCGTAACACTACCACGAGTCATGCATACCTGCAGATCCTCTTGTACAGGAGCGCCGCATGTATATGTCAACTCACAGAGTGATTCCCGCGATTGTATACCAATTATGTACACAAATTATGTCTACCGGTTATGTATACCTACTATGTATACCAAATATGTACCTACTGCCAACTTTTGTATACCGACTACCAACTTACGTATACCCACCCTGGTATACCTACTTGTCATCGGCGCTCTTCCCAGCCTGCCGCGTATTTTCATCTGTACTGATCTCCCCCCGACTCTCCAACAGCACCGCACCCAAGCCCTCATCCACGTTCTCGTCCGCCTCCTCTGTTTCCTGGGTGCTGTTGGCACTGTCACTGGTATCTAACCTAGACTGATCCACACTGACCTGCTGCGTGGATGTACTGCACCCATCCCCTCCCAACCGACCCATCTCCTGGGCCTCGTATTCCTGCATGACCCTGCGAATAAAATCCACCACGCGCGTGTACCGCGGATCCTCTTTGGAGCGAGGTTTGCATATATTAAAGTGATCGGCATCAACCAGTTCAAAGTCTCCGTAACCCGGGTCTGAGCTCTGTACTGGCACTACCATGGTGCTCCATACCCATGATATCCACGTCGACCTAGTGACAGAGGAAGGTAGATGGCAAGCAGGTGAGTGACTGAGCCGAGTACATACACGGAACACATTTACGTGGCGAATACCGAAAAGATGTGTGTAAACTACGATGCTTATTCAATACAAAATATATATATATATTTATGTGTGAGACCGAAACCATACATACGGGTATTTTCACAATCACCCGTTGTTAGAGACAACTCAATATTCTAACCAGGCCTCAACTTGTTCTTTGACTACCTGTACATGACGCCATATATATTTATATATATATATATAATATAAATATATATATATATATATATAATA